GCTCGTTAGGCTTAATGAACGAGCCGAACACGAGCTGTTTAACGAGCCGAACACGAGTTGTTCACGAACAACGAGCCAAATTGACAGCCCTATTTTTAAAGATGAAAGTGGGGAGCCGAGTGAGAAAGTGAAGGCAAAATGCTTTTGTATTGGGCTTCTTCCTTATAGGAAAAAGGATCAAAAGAGTCCCAAAAAAAAAATAAGAGTCTCCATTTAACTTAATTTTTTCTATTTATAATGGTTGGGCCTTCGTTAAAAGACATATTTGGGCTTATAATGCCCAAAAACCTGTAGTGAGTTCCTCAGTCCTTGTTACCTTTGCTATCATGACATGGAATCTTAAGAGGAGTTGAGGCCTGGTTGGGTCACAGAGACCATATCCTAACATATGGCTACGGATGCTTAACTACTTGTTCATCCTTTGGCCTTCTCATTTAGTCATTTGACCATCAGTCATTTGGCTCCAGTCACTCAAATTTAAGTGCTCGAACTTAGTATACTACCCTTGGGCACTAGATCTCGGTCACCCAGTCTCGAGCGCTCGGACTTGCTTCACTTGGCCTTTAATTACTAGTTCTCATTCGCTTTGTTTTCCAGACACGTAGTTGCTTCTAGTGGACCAATTATTTATTTTTATTCTTGTGGGATGGCTTATGCTGATTAATGTATTATGAGTCGTCTGATTCTTGATTATATTGATCATCCAATGCATGATGACACGGGCTGTATCTTTCCTATTATACATATTTAGTTCTTTGATTCATTTGTATCTTAGAAATTAATGTATTCTGAGTCGTCTGATTCTTGATTATAATGATCATCCAATACATGATGACACAGGTTGTCTCTTTCCTATTATCAATATTTAGTTCTTTGATTCATTTGTATCTTAGAAAGTTGTGTTATGAAAAGAGAGAGAGAATTAAATTCCAATTATTAGCTTTGAATTTGAAATAAATGCTCATAATGCAACTAATCCCTTGAATTCTTTGTTTTTGGCTCTTATAAATAGAGAGATGAGATGTCCTTGGATCTCATTTGATTGAGTTCTAAATCTTCCTTTTAGTTTATCAATTTTATTTTTATCTTGTGATGGAGAACCATACCCAATCACGTACTCATGTTTAAGGTTTTGCCCAATGATGTTATGCGTCTTCTGATGCATCCTTCAGTTTTGTCATTATATTCAAGGCTTTGCCCAACAAAATTTGAAGAAATAGAATACCAAAAGATTATTAAGAAAAATTTTGAGTTTGTATAGGAGGTTTTTTTGTACAATACACGATTGAAATTATTCCTACGAAAACCAAAATCCATGTGGTCAAGATCATTCACTGTACTTCAAGTTTTTCATTTTGGTAAGATTGATATTGAAGATCCTAAGAGTGGTAGAGTGTTTAAAGTGAATGGACGGAGACTTAAACCATACTTTGGCTGAGAGAGGCATGTGTTTAAGAATGGTTCTATGTTGGGTAATCTTGATTAGAATATCTGGCATGCTCGGGCTGGGGACATAAACTAAGCGGTACTTGAGAGGCAACCCCCTCAATTTATGCAATTATCATCTTTAAATTGTGTGTCATGTCAATTTGCTATACACCATCATTTGCATTTGTTTGTAGAATTAATAAAAGGGTTGGTTGTAATTTTGAGTTGGTTCATTCTTATGTATGGGGACCTTGTCATGTTTTATCTAATGAATTTAAATATTGCCACTTTTAGGGATAATATTTCTCCTATGACTTGACTCTACTTTATGAAATATTGTTATGAGTTATTGTAATTATGTCAATCCTTTTGTGCTAAAATTAAACTCAATTCAATGTTTCAGTTAAAATATTGAGAAGTGACAATGCCAAAAAAGTATTTTCTCCACATTTTTAGACATGCATGACAAAAAATTAGATGCTTTCCCAATCATATTGTGTTGATTCAACATCCTAAAGTGGAGTAGTTGAAAGGAAGAAATAGACATCTTCTTGAGATTGCTAGAACTCTTTTATTCCAAATGAATATGCCCAAACTGTCCTTGGTCGATGCAGTTTTTAGTGCTTGTTACCTGATAAATCAGATGTCTTATACTGTTTTACAGAACTAGATACTCTACCAAATTTTATGTTGAACTAAACCTCTCTCTCTCATTGGATCTTGTGTATTTGGGTTTACTTGTTTTCTTTGTGATACTCATCTACAAGTTTCTATGCTGAACCCTAGGTGATTAATGTGTCTTTCTTTGATACTCTCATTTGCAAAAAGGAAATAACTGTTTTCCCCTCTCTAATACATATACATGGTTTTTGTTGATGTTAGCTTTCATGAACAAACCCCATTCCTTGATAACTCATCGGTGCCTAAATCCACACAAAATTTTGATAAGTTGTTAATGTATCACATCATCAATTCAGAGCTTGCTCCCCCTCCACCCCCAGCAACTCAGCCTAGGCCATCTATCACTAATGTTTACTCTAGAAGAGCTCGTTCCCTTGATCCTTTCCCTTGATCCTAGTCTTACAGTCTTACACTGGTGTCATCTTCTTTAGTAGATCATCCTATTAATTTTTATTTATTTAATCTTCTTCGAAGGGGTAAAGATCAATATACCTATCTCATTTCCTCTTGTGTTAACCATGCGCAGTTGTCTTCTACTTCTAGCTCGTTTATTGCTTCCCTAGACTCTGTTGAGGCCCTAAGATCTATCCAACAAGCTCTATCCCATTCTAGGTGACAGACAACGATGCTTGATGAAATGCATGCCTTAATTGAAATATGAAACTTTGGAAGTAGTTGAATCGCCTTATGGCAAGATGGTTGTTCTTTTCTAGCCCCTTATTTTTTTTATATGGTATCAGAGCAGGATTAGAGTTCCCTACTTTCTTCTTTTGTTTTTTTTGTTCTTTCTTTAATCCATTTCTAGTCAGAGCTATCATTTCTTTCTTATTATGTCTGACTTCTTCAACTTCCATGGAGTTGATAATCATGAAAGGTGAAAATTAGCTGTCACTCTCTCTGCTTCCTATTAGCCGCCGCCCGTAGCTTGCCGCTATTGCCATCTGCTGACCATGTATTTTATATTTATTTCTTTTTTCTTCAAATCAAATAAGAAAATGTGAAGTCCAACATTTACTTTACACTGAACCAAACAACTTTTGAAGTATTTTAAATAAAATATATTAGTATTACACTTCATTCCTTGTTCAACAAACCAAATAACACCTTTATCGAAATGATTTGCTAAAAAAAAAATGAAAAGGAGGCTTAAATAATGTTTTTTCTCCCTTCCTTCTTCCTCCCTGGTCACTCTCTTTCTATCTCCTCTTTCTCACTCTCTCAGGAAAGGTTATATAAGATGTTGTATCCCATATGCTATCAAGGCAGAAGAAAATAAAATAATTAGCTCTTCCTGGTTCCAATTTGCAGAATAGATCACTGGTATCCACTATTGTAGTAGTTTGTAATGGAATTGGTTTAGCTAAGATTTGCGTGAAACTTCAAAATTCTTTTATGTTTTTTCTTTTTCTTTTTTTGCCTCTTTATTAAGCACTCACTTTTGAC